TGAAACAATTAAGCTAAATTGGTGACTTGGGAACCTAACTAGTTGCCAAGTGGCAATGAGAGGATCTACCTTTGATTTGGCCCATTGTGTATGTTTGCCACCGAAGATTGTGGCGGGGTGTTGGCCTCTCGGTGAGGATTAAAGAGATTCAAAATAAGTTGGCTGTGACAGGTGAGGCCCTAACTGCTTTGCCAAGAGGGCAGTGATGTGAGGCAGTAACTATGATTTGGCCTGAGGGGCAAATACCTCCGTAGTAATGGCACAAGAAGCTGAAAACTACTTATGGCCACTTAGGGTACCCTAACAGCCAGTCCAAGCTAAAGATAAGTTTTGTAGAGAGAGTGGTTATTGTAAGAATGGAGTTAGTATCGTAAAGCAAGTCAGTTACGTGGTGACTTAAAAAATGTAAATGCAAAAGAATAAATGTGGCATTATAAGATATACACCTGGCAGATAAATGAAAGCTATGCTAGAAATTGATGGTAAGAATGGAAAGTGGAGGGCAAAAGAAAAAGGTTTACCGAGATCCAAAACCAAAATCCAACCAGAGAGAGAGAGACCCAAGAACTTCGTGTTCATAATTCAGAACTACGACACCAACACCAATGAAAATGCAACAGTTTGACGGTAAGGTAGGTAAAGTAAGTGCGAAGCCCAGATTCCAAAATACTCTATTAATATCGGTTACCAAACTAACAAAAGAATTTGAACAGTGTGAAAAATGGCTCAGTTGACTATACCCCCAGATATGCAATGGTCGGCATAAAGCATACCTGGTGAGACTTTACTTACTGATATAGGTCATGAAAGAGTTGGCCAGAATAATTGAACAACAAGACCCCTGTAAAGTATATGTCAGGAGGTGAGGGTGTGGTTCCCAAATTATCAAGCTGAGGATAACCAGCCGCAACTGGCATAGTGACAGAAAGGCATATTATAAAACATAACAGTGCAGACATGTGGAGTAAATGAAAATTAACAGTTTTCATCAAAAGCCCCGACCCGATACCTGTTTGTACCGAATTTAAGCATGAGTTCCCTCTGCACATCCTTCCACTAGAAGAACCTGAAGTGTGTATGAGAAAGAACACCCTGAAAAATCCCAACCATCACATTAATCAAATCCCATAGCGTACTACAGGAATGAAGTACCAGAACTAGCAAGTGCCTTAAGGTGGAGGTACTAAACTGTTAAAATAGTGACAGACCAAAGAATCCTGGATATGTTAAATGCATAGTGATAGGTATCAGGTTCTCGGGTGTGTACCGAGAGAGCCTAACGAGGCCATGTGTAATATTGGAATGTGGTATGAAAGGTTGTATTTCTTTGACCCTTGTATATTAGAAAATTGCCCAAATGTGAGGACGGAATTGCCATAGTGCCCATAGATGGCCATGTGTAAACATATGGAGTGAAGGCCTAGTGAGGGCCATGTGTAGAGGTATTGTAGTGGAAGGCAGAGTGCCCAATGTTAGTCCTGAGCTGCTGAATTGAGAAATAGGGCTGTATGAGGGGTATGGATGTATTGAACGAACAAAAGAAGGATAAGCATACCAAGATGCAGGTGTTGTGAAATGGACAATAGTGAATACATATTTTTTCTTTTTTGGTCCAGTCCATTTGTAAAGGTAGAATTATAAGTTAAGCTAGAAGGATGGTAACATGGCATGCAGTGGTGTCCGACTATAAGGCCCATGCCAAAGGATGACAAGTATACAACCAACACATTAGATTATATGGTGTCTCAATGTAGTTGACTTGAGACATAACATTGCTAATACTGTGCAAGAACAAAGTGACAGTATGTGAAGTAACGCTACAATGTATAGAATAAGGGATTAGCATACCATGGAGTTTTGCAGGCAGAATAAGGGCTGTATAGGCCTAGCGAGTATAAGTGGTGTAATGAAAGGTTGTAAGAAAGAGTGGTGTATACATATAACCCCCATGCATCGAAAGGTACTTATGCATTTCGGTCATATTGGCTGCCCATGTATGATGGGAATGAAATGAAGGCCCAGTACGGCCGCGTGTGAAGGTCTTGGATCTGAAACAAGACCAATATAGCATTTATTCACAACCTTGCTATCAGTAAGCAGTTTCAATAGGAAATCTATGAAGGATATAAGCACTCGTCTAAATAGATATAGGTGAACCGAAGTGCTTAATCTGAGGTCAAGATAATGTACATAATGGAGGAATTACAACTACCCCATGAGAATGGCCAAATGAGGGTCTTAAGGATAGATATGTTGCCGATAACATGTAGAATAATGGGGTAGTATGCAAGCTCTGTAAGACTGATGTAATGCAAATGAAATGCCTAAATGAGGTTTTGAGCTAGGACATGGCATGTAGCCCACTGTGGGGTATATGACCGCACATTGTAAAGGCCATGAGTAAGAAATTGCGTAGAATACCAGAAGATGTCCCAATTTGTGTCCTGAGTTACAGGAGGATTGTGTCGCTGTGTTGGGATTAATGCAGGTGAAGGTAGGATGTGAATCAGAGAATTGTTGTGGAGAAGTTGTATGTAGCCAAGAGATGTTGGTGATGAGATAGAGTTACTAATAATCATCTAGTTTATGAAATGGTGAAACTGAATAGAACTTGTATGTAAACACTTATAAAGCATCATATAATACATACCCACGGAGTCAAATAAAACAGGGTATTGGCAGACAGAATTAAACAGGAACAGAGGCCTCTAGAATGCCACAGTGGCTGAACAGGTTAGCGGCTGTGACAGCCATACTTAATCGTTAGGAAGAGACAGGAGCTATAATATATACATTAAAAAAAAAAAAAAACCTACATGTGGAATGCTTAGGAAGATGAAAAATACTTTGCATACACAACAGGCATGGAAGATAAGGGTTGAAAGCAACAGCAAATGCTATAACAATGGTAGAATATCTCAGTAATATTATCAGCTAAAACTTGCTTAAATTGAACATGACTGAATGAGGTTAACATAATGCATATAGACCCCACAAATAAGACAGTAAAAGTAATCACAATACCTAAGCCGGCCTGATATGGCCAAATATGATTGACATGTGTAAGTGCAACCAATAAACGAGTGACTTAAGTGGGCTGAAATGTTAACAGTGTCTAAAAAAAGAGGTTGTACTGTATAAGGAAACCAGCGCGGTCAAATGCGGACTGAATTTATGGAAGGTGGAAAATCGATGTGCTTGAGTGGTAGAATGAGGCCATAGCAGACAAATCATAAAATGCAGTAATTGAATTGAAAGCCCCTACTTGGCAGAGTAGGGCTTAACTGTAGGGTACGTTAAAACACTCGTAAATTAGGGCTTAATACTTACTTATAAATTGCTTATGATTGGAGAAAACTAACTCAAAGAGGTACTCCTGACCCCCAAAGCACTTAGTGTGTGATTGGACAGCCACAGAAATATCAGGCAGGTAGAAGCAGCAGACAAGAGAACTGCAGATTTTGCAAGCGGTTTTAGGTTATACCGTATGAAAAAATTACATAAATAAATGCATGCATGTTGTCATTCAGGGCACATCCACTAAACAGTGATTTGTATGCAGCATTAATAGAGATCATACAGAGATGTAAACAGTAGGCCATACAAAATGACTCTGGAATAACCTAAAATAGCAAACTATTAATACAATGTTATTTGCAGAAAAACGTGAAAGTAACTTCAGGCAAACATGTGAGAAAACAGGACATTGGCGAGCTACAGTTAGTTAAGGCTTAAATATGCAGGGATGGCTTAGAACTTAGTAAGCATGCAATAAACAAATCCCAATGACCAAACAAATATCAAACAGGCTGTTAAAGTGAAACAAATCCAGTATATATATATATATGTATGTATGTATGTTTTGGGGGCCTGACAAATTTAGGCAGTCAGTTGCAGCACCTAGCCACATAATTAATAATATAGGTTCAATGAATACTTAGAGGGCAGACAAATAGAACATTAAAAATAGGGTGGCAACTGAAATGCATATGATACATTTTAAAAGTTTGAGTTTGTTTAGTTAGAAGATTTCTTTAGATATTTAGAAGATATTCCCCTTGAAACAGGATAAGGATTTTTTTTTTTCTTTAATACAGAGAATGCATATAAAAAGTCTATATATTTCTTCCCTCAACAACATGTATAGGCCCAAGTTTGGACAATTGCAACACCTTGCCACATAAATAATAAATAATGTAGGCCTAATGAGTGCATGAATACCTGGAAGGCAGACAAAGAACACATAAAAAGAAGGGTGACAACCGAATTGCATGATAAGTCAATATGCCCAAATACAGTAAATAAAAGCATGAACCTAATTGAGGCATCGCTGAAATGCTATGTACAATTGAAATAGGCTGAATTTGCCATATGCAAATGAACAACTTAAAGTTTGTAGAGAAAAAATAAATATAATAAAAAATAAAATGTGTGAACAGTAACAGCCAAGCTGGGCAAGACACAGCGGTGCCCCATGAGCTTCTAAGGTTGAGTCTGTTGTTTACTAGAGTGAGGTAAAATGAATACTTGCGTAGGCCGCACTAGGCCAAGACCAGCTTGTCTGGAGGCAGTTTGTGTTGATGACCTTTGAACTGGAAGTAGATGGTTCTGTAGTGAACCAGACAGTTTCAGCCCAGAGGGAGGGGTGATCTGTGTATTTATAGCACTATCCCCTCCCACAACTACAGGCTCCGCATATATATATATATATATATATATATATATATATATGCGGAACCTGTAGTTGTGGGAGGGGATAGTTGTGGGAGGGGATAGTGCTATAAATACACAGATCACCCCTCCCTCTGGGCTGAAACTGTCTATATTTTTTTTTCTCATTTATTTTAATTTATTAACTTTATTTTATAAACTTTTTTTTTACTTTTTACACCAGTTCAGGCAGTCCCCCTGCTGACAGCACTGTGGACACCTATTGCGGCCAAGTGACCGCTCTTTAGAGCAGTCACATGGCTCCTGGGGGTCCTAAATTGCACAGGGGGGACTGTTTGGACTGAGCACAGTCAGTCCCCACTAAGAAGAAGACTGATTGCCGGCGGGGGAACAGCGGCAATTGGTAAGTACATGGGTAGAGAGAGAGAGAGAGAGGTTAATTTTTTTTTCTTAATTTTTTTTTCTTAATTTTTTTTATATTTACTGAGTGCCTCGACCCCTCGAGGCACTAAGTACAGGCAGATCATCGGAAGTCTGCCTGATGACTTCCGATGCTCTGCCTCACTGCCGGACTCCACGTGGAGCAACCCAGAAGTGATCCCCACGTGTGTTCTCTGGCGGCCCGGCACTGAGGGGAGTATTGCAGCGATGCCTCAACATCGAGGCATCGCTGCAATACCATTAGAGCTGCTGGAAGCGATCATGATCTTCCAGCACTCTAATTCTTCCAGGTACATCCACGGTCCTTAACCACTTAAGGACCAAACTTCTGGAATAAAAGGGAATCATGACACGTCACACATGTCATGTGTCCTTAAGGGGTTAAGGACTGTTTTTCATCGGATGTACCTGATACATCCTTGGTCGGGAAGGGGTTAAATATATGGGCGTTCAAGAAGCAGCAAAGGAAAAGTTAGTTGAATGGGCACACAGAATATTAAAACCCAAGGGCATTTCCGAAGTTGCCCAAGTGATTTTTCATTGTATTATATGCGTCAGAAGATCTTTAATGCCTCAAGAAATTATAAATCAAAATAATTTAGCTTTCTATCAAGACTTATCTAATAATACAAGAAGGAAAATATTTGCATTCAAAGATTTTACTGCAACTCTCAGAGATAGGCACATTAAATATATCTGGGGGTTCCCTGTTAACCCCTTCCCGACCGGAGACGGACATTTTCCGTCAACCTCGTCCTTGAGCTAAGGACCGTTGATGGAAAATTTCCGTCATTTACTAAGGTTAACCCCTGTAGCAGTGCTCGCTCTGACAGGCTGTCAGAGCGAGCACATGTGCTGCAGGTACTTACCATTCGGATCCCTGCACTTCACATTATTATTATTATTATCATTTATATAGCGCCAACAGATTCCGTAGCGCTTTAAAATATTTTGAGAGGGGGGATGTAACAATAAATAGGACAATTACAAGAAAACTTACAGGAACAATAGGTTGAAGAGGACCCTGCTCAAACGAGCTTACAGACTATAGGAGGTGGGGTATTAGAAACATTAGGACAAGAAATATCAAGTAGGGGTGAAGCAGAGCTGGAGGAGAGAGCAAAGCACTGTCCCATAGGAGAGAGCAGGAGACAGGTATGTAAGGTAGAGATTACTCTGGGAGGCCATAAGCTTTCCTGAAGAGATGGGTTTTAAGGCCCTTCTTAAATGATTGAAGACTAGTGGCGAGTCTGACGGCAGTAGGCAAGCTATTCCATAGGAGAAGAGCCACCCGCGAGAGGTCCTGCAAGCGCGAGTTGGCCGTACGGGTGCGAGCAGCGGTCAGGAGGTGGTCACGGGCAGAGCGGAGGGTACGAGGAGGGGCATATCTATGGATTAGTGAAGAGATATAAGTGGGGCTAGAATTGTTCAGTGCTTTAAATGTGTGGGTTAGCACTTTGAATTAACTCCTATAGCATACAGGGAGCCAATGTAAGGACTGGCAGAGGGGTGAGGTGTGAGAGGACCGACTAGAGAGGAAGATCAGTCTAGCTGCAGCATTCATGACAGACTGTAGCGGGGCAATACGGCTTTTGGGGAGACCAATCAGGAGAGGGTTACAGTAATCCATGCGGGAAATTACTAGAGCATGGACAAGCTCCTTGGTAGCATCTTGCGTAAGAAAGGGGCGAATGCGGGTTATGTTTTTGAGTTGGAACCTACAGGACTTGGCAACAAACTGGATGTGAGGCTCAAAGGTGAGACCAGAGTCAAGTATGACGCCAAGACAGCGCGCTTGCAGGATGGACTTATGTGGATATCACTGAGTTGAAGGGAGAGCGAGAGAGGAGGATCAGTATTAGGAGGAGGAAAGACAAGGAGTTCAGTTTTAGAGAGGTTAAGTTTCAGAAAGCGTGAGGACATCCAGTCAGAGATGGAGGAAAGGCAAGCAGTGACACGTTGCAGGACGGCAGGGGAGAGGTCCGGGGAGGAGAGGTATATCTGAGTGTCATCAGCATACAGGTGGTAGCGGAATCCAAAAGAGGCAATAAGTTTACCTAGAGTGGCAGTATAAAGAGAAAATAGGAGGGGACCAATGACAGACCCTTGGGGAACTCCAACCGAGACAGGACGAGGGGAGGAGGTATCCTTAGAAAAGGAGACAGTGAATGAGCGTTGGGAGAGATAGGAGGAAAACCAAGAGAGGACAGAGTCACAGTCTATAAGTTTGTAATGGTGAATGAACCACTGTAACTTGAACCTTGTGTTACAGTGTATCCTATGTTATATTTCTGTTGTATTCATGTTATGTAAAACAAAAACCTTTTCAATAAAAATGAAACGTTGAAAAAAGCATGCAGCCACTTGGCTACATCCCTTCAGGGCTCCCTTCTTTTGGCCATGCAGAGACATCTAGAAGACTTTGATAACAGGTGCACAAGATGTAACCTTTTTTTTTGTTCTCTAACAAAAGTGGTCGGCTCTTGGCCAAAATGTTGTAGAAGCGGACACAATTTAAGTGATCACATGCTGATAGGGCACCAGTCCAGATGGTCTCTCTTTGAGTTACCTTAAAAAATATGCCTTATCTGTCTTTTCCCCTTGCTTTTCTTCTCTTCTAACTGCTCTCTCCTATGTGGGAAGTCTACACTTATCGTATCCCGCTCTCTTTTGTTCCTTATTCATAGTTCCCTATCAAAACACATCAGCCTCCGAATTTAGTCCACAGCTTCCTCTGCTTTACCCGGGTCACATTATCTAGCATCTTGGAAAGGGAGATACATTAGTTACAGGCAATACGCTTAAACCATCTGTAAAAACCATACATCGTTATCAATGGCCACAAGTGAGCTAATAGAGCTAACCTGCACTCTACAGCTGGATAGGAAGAAAGGGCAATTTCCATGGTGTTTCTTCCTGGGAAAGGCTTCACTGGTGCCTCAAAAAGCTCATTGTGTCCCATGAGATGGAAAAAATGGAGCAAACTTGAAGTCAGAGATTGCATTATGATTGGGTAAGGAGCATCATTTCTGAAGGAATGAACCTTGTCAATCCCCACAGGTGAACAGACAACTCCTTGCTCTACCGGAGACCTCTGAAAACCTTTGGTGTGAAAATCAATCTAATTCTACTTTGTGCCTTATCCAAGGCCATAAATATCTTGACTAAAGCTCCCATATCCTTCACAAAGGACTCACTGAATAAAAACAAATGCTTAGCAGGTGCCCCTGCTTTGTTTAAGGCCATATTGACAGGCTTAGGCTCTATTTTTGACTGAATTGCCTTTCTACGCCACCTAAATTACATTATATTTAACCCGTTCTGATGATTTGATAGGAAAAACAAATAGTGGCTTTTGTTGATGGCACCTGTATTTTGAGGTAGCATTTTAAAATGATGATAGGAGAGGCCTAGATTCTATGACAATACATTTGTTTATTTTTGCTCCATTTTATTTTCTCTGATAAACTGCGTATATTGAACATTACAGCTGGGGTACGAAGAGCAGTGTACCATGCTACTTATGGGTTTTTCACACAAATCAAATAAGCCTTGTTTTTAAATAAGAAACAAATGAGACACATTTATAATATGATTCCACAACCAGATCAACATGGCTTGGCAGCAATAGGCTAACAGGTGAATTCACACAGCAGTCTGCTTCCTTGCCCAGAATCCTGAGCAGCAGCAGCTACGTTGTCTTGGCACTTGAGAAACTGAACATGTCGTGAGCCACTGGGAGTCTGGTGCAACCAAGTGTATAAGTACAGTCTGGTATCACAGATTTGGACCTTGATAGCTTATTGGATCAAGAGAAGCGTTGTAGAGGGAATATTCAAACCTTTTGATTAGTGTAATAACAATTATCACTTAATTCTTTTGAGGAACATCATTTCAACAGACAATTTAATCAAAATTCGAGCAAGAGAAAAGTAAATTGGTTTGAACAAATGCTGGTATTTATGCTGCATGCATAGCATACTAAATTAAGCCAGTGTCTACAATAAACTTTTTTTTTAATCACCTTAGCTTTAGTTACATAGATGCAGATTGACAATAATGGTAATTGTTACCAGATTAATTGTTATTTTTCGTGCCAAATGTTTGTGTCATCTATTTTTCTAGAATTGAGAGATACTACAGATGACACATGTGATCATCAAGCCTTGGTGTAGATGGTTCCTTTGTTTTAGGGCAATGAAGAAAATCCTTTTAGGCTTGCCATATGTAGCACAAGATTTTATCTACTAAAATATGTCTCAATATATATCAATTTGATTATCCATTTTGAGTATATTAAAATAACTAATGCATTCATAAGAATATAGATAGCATAATTATTTTAAGCTAACTAAATATGCAAGCTTACAATTTAAATTTGCAGGATATGGGAAATAGGGGGTCTCATCCTCCA